GACCACGCTGCAATCCCTTCTCCTCCATTCTCCTCCTGGGATCTTGGGCACGCACGCACATGTGCCCGGCATGAGTTTTAAGCCACCGGGTCCATGACGCGAACCGCAGTCAACTACGTGGGAGTCCAGCAACATAGCCATTACACTAACTGCTGGTCCCATGCCTGGTATGAGTTTTAAGCCATTGGGTTGACTTGAACTGTGGTTAGCTATATGGGAATCCAGCAATGTGACCACTATGCCATCTGCTGACCCCAACCAGTCATAACCTTTCAAAGTCACGAGTGCAGGAGGGAGGGGTATCCATGTCTACTGTGGCCTTGCTGACGGACGGGTACTCTTCCTAATACCAACAGGTGGCAGGGGAGGCTGGTCATCTGACGGCTGTTCCATCAAAGACAGGAGGCCGAATGAAACCATGTGTACCTGCAGCCACCTCACGAGCTTCGGCGTGCTGTTGGTAATACCCGCATGCGATGTGGCCTTGAGTTCTGGGGCCGAGGGGCAGCCGGGCATCTCACTCCAGTGCCTAATCTGATGGATGATCTTGACAGATCAGCAGATATTTTTGGGTCATTGGGAAAGTCTTGACTTATTTTTTCTATGTTTGTCTATGCAAAAATGTATCATGACTTTCCTGTCGACCCAAGATGATACCGTGGCAAGTCACGCACCAAGGAAATAACCCTTCTAATAAGCAAAATGGAAGGAAAATACTTGAAAGTGGAGTATCAGTAATTTTTCACATTCCGTCTTTACATTAGAGTTTTTCTTTTGTAAGTAGCAAAGAAGACTACGGGATTTAGATTAGTATGTGTAATATAAACAGTTTAATTTGCAATGCACTTTAACATTTTCACAAGACTCTTTGGCTGAATGATCTTATTTAACCTTCCTAACAGTCCCGCAAGACAGGTGGGATGGGGGTATTGTTACTCTTACTGAAATCAGAATTAAGACTCCTTTGTTAGGGAACTGTTCTCAGTCATAGAACTAAAAAATGTGAAAGCCAGGAGCTGAACTGCAGTCGCTAGGATTTTGGTCTGGTGCTCTTCCAGTGCACCGTGCTACCGTGATCAAATATGTGGGCTTGGGAGACAGGCAGACCTGAGTTTGAATCCTGGCTTCTCCACTTCTTAGCTGTGCGACTGTGGGCAAGTTATTTAACCTCTCTGGGGTTCAGGCTCATTATCGTTACCCGATGCTAATAATTGTGCCTACCTCATAGGTTTGTCGAACAGACAATAAACCAGTACCCAGAACACTCAGTACATGTAACTCATGACTCTTTTATTTATTTAAAAAGACTTGATCACTGAAAGCAACATTTTATTTTCCAGGATCTGTCTCGGACAGCCTTACCACCTGCTCAGATGATGGCGCTGACGTTCATCACGTACATTGGTTGTGGGCTTTCCTCCATTTTTCTGTCAGTTACTCTTATAACCTACGTAGCCTTTGAGTGAGTATCCAGCACAGGACCCAGCACTCACCTCCATCACCAAAGCATGTTTGGGAATCGAGTGCTTTCTTGGCCTACCTTGTCCTCTACACCCACCTAGTGGAGCCCCCATGTGTAAAACTTTCTAGGGCGGTTGGTGTATGTGTATGCTTCCTTCCATTAGTACGTGAGCTCCCTGCAGGCCGGGGTTGTGTTGTCAGCATCTCTGCACCCGGGACGCTGCCTGGGACCCAGTAAGCATTACATGTGGACTGAAAGATGGCTCCCAGCCCCCAAAATTCTAGAGCTCACTCTCTGAAATGTACCCTAGCACCGCGTACAGCATAAAAGCTATTGAATATGTTTAATACATGTTCTAAATAATATAAGCAGGGACCAGCAGATGGCATAATGGTTACATTGCTGGACTCCCATGTAGTCGACCGCAGTTTGAGTCCTGGACCTGGCAGCTTGAAACCCATGCTCTGTGTGTGTGTGTGTTTGATCCCCAAAATCCCTAGAAAAGAATGGAGAGGAAGGGATTGTGGCATGTACATCTCCCCTGGAAGGGAGTGATTTCTCACTCTCTAGCTCTCTCTCTCCATCTCTCTGGTAAATGCACACACCCTATTAGCAAAAATCTCTCTCTCTCTCAAGAAAAATTATACTAAGCAAACACCAAAGATGAATAAATACATTGACTTGTATGGGGCTGAAGAATAAAGATTAGAAACTTTCCTGAAGGAAAATACTCAGTGAGTGTGACTTTGTAGGCCAAAGCAAGAATGACATTCCAGATAACAGCCTTTTCTTCATGGCTCACCAGCAGGGTCCCCTTGTTCACTTCTGCGGGAGAATTCTAACAAATTCTATTGAAAAAGAAGGAACTAGGATTTTTTTTTAAAGAATTATTTTATTTAACTTTATCCATTTATTTGCTTATTTTAATTTGACCAGAGAGGGATAGAATAAGAGACAGTGAGAACACAAGACAGAAAGTGAGGAAGCAAATCACCAGGTCTGGGACTCAAATTGCAGTCAGCCATGTGGGAGTCCAGCACCCTTAACCACCACGCCACCTGCTGGTCCCAGAATTAGGATTTTTATTATATTAACTGAATGAAACAACATGTAGGTTCTGGGATTTACATTTTGGACACTGATCAGGAAATGTACATATTTACTTTCATTGTCAAACTTACGGTCCAGCTGTGAATACAGATCTTCTAGTGGATCTCTAGAAATATTATTAGTGAGACTAAATCACCATAAAACCAGCCATTACTCAGAATGATTTCACCAGATCTAATTTTACAAACATAAACATGTACATGTCATCAATTAGCCGTGTTTTCCTACACCATCACATTTAGCTATAGTTTAAATTCTTCTTTCCATGATCTCATTTTAACTAATAACATAAGATAATATGGGACTCTGGCTGTATTTTGAAGATCTGAATATAGCAGCCTGTTATATGAGAAACAGCGGCAATACTTCTAGAAGTAGTCTGGGGAGAAATGGAGTAGTCCAGTGTACTACAAACTATTTAAAAGTGTGGGTCAGCAGTCGGCATGTAAAAGGTTCACGGAGATATGGACAAAATGTTCCATGTGCTTATCACAGATGATTCTGTTAGATTTGTCCTTTGTTGTTGGTGGTGGTTTTTTTAAAAAAAATTTTTTTGGAGAAATTTTTGCTATAGGGCATGTGTACTTGCCAGAGAGACAGCGAGACAGAAAGCAAGAGATCACTTCCCAGGGGGATCGCCATGCTGCAATCCCTTCTCCTCCATACTCCTCTTGGGATTTTGGGGCACACATGTATACACACCTGGCATGAGTCTCAAGCCTCTGGGTCTGGGACTCAAACTGCAGTCAGCCCTGTGGGAGTCCAGTGACCTAATTGTGATGCATCTGTTGGTCCCAATGGTGGTTTTTAAAAGCATTTTTTAAATTATTTATTTATTTATTCTATTAGAGAGAGAAAGAGAGAGAGAGAGATGGATTGCAAGTACTTCTAAGAGTCTTCACACAACATTCTACCCTTAGCCTCAGGCAGCCCCTGGTCACAGGTTTACATACGGGTGTCCTACATGTAGAGAAAGACCCCGGATATGAACTGGCAAACTTCCTATATGGGTGCAGTTGTGTTACCACTGTGCCAACATCTGGCCTGTTGTCGATTATAATGCTTCCTCCCATGCACATATACTCAAAGAGGAAAATATATGCATACAGATGATTATCAAAAAATAAAAATACATTGCTTCAGAATCAAAGACAGCCAGACAAATAGGCTTATGATGTACAAGGGCTGGCAGACTATAATGCTAACTCTTTTCTTGACCTTTCTTCTTAGAAAGATCCGGAGGGATTACCCATCCAAAATCCTCATCCAGTTGTGTGCTGCTCTGCTCATGCTGAATCTGGTATTCCTCCTGGATTCGTGGATAGCTCTGTACAACATGAGAGGCCTCTGCGTCTCAGTGGCTGTGTTTCTTCATTATTTTCTGTTGGTCTCATTCACGTGGATGGGCCTGGAAGCTTTCCACATGTACCTGGCTCTTGTCAAAGTCTTTAACACTTACATCCGAAAATACATCCTTAAATTTTGCATTGTCGGTTGGGGTATGTATAAGTTCGCTTGCACTTTGTCTGGATTCTCTCTACTTTTTCTCCAGTACCTTGATTTTTCATCAAGTAGAGACAGTTATGAAGCAGATCACATTTGACACGTTTCTGAATCAACGTTATATTCCTCCCATGCCATACTGCCCAGAGAGCAACTTGGTTGAGTCTTTCTAGAACATCTGTATGTTTCCTCTGGATTTTTTTGAACATGAAAGTCTTTGAGGTTGAGCCACGTTTTTATCTCCAACAGCTAGAATTGGTGCTGGCACAGAAGGTGCTACATAAATTGAAAAAGTGAGCTTGGTGGTAATGAGGCTAATCTCACAGTCCCTGAGCACCCAGCTAGCCTCACTCTATTTTGTCCCTCAAACTGGACACATGTGTGGTGGTATGCTCAGAAGGGCAGTGGGAGAATGCACATGTAAAGCTAGTAGCTCAGTGGTTAAGTGCTGCATGGTAGAGGCTGGATCCCACATACCCAGGATTTGAGTCCTGGCCCTGGTGGCTTGGAAAACATGCTGGGTATACATGTGCATGCCCGGGCTCCCGATGGGATGGAGAACGGAAGGAGAAAAGATTGCAGCATGGCCAGGCCCTGTTGGAGGGTTCTCTCTTTCTCCTTTGTTTACACACACGCCCTCTGGCATAAAAACAATCAATCAAACAAAACAAGCTTAACAGAACTTCATCACCACAGCTGTGTAGTATTTTGGGTCATGTGACCTATTAGTGATCTTAACAGTTATTCAGGGATCCAAGCTGATGAAGACTGCCTCCAGACAGGGCTTCCAAGTTTGCCCGAAATTTAAAGGAAGGAAAACAAGAGTAGAGGATCACGCAAGAGGTTTCTTTTTTTCTTTTTCAGAGCTTTTCTTCTTTAGATTTTTACTATATGGCATGTGCACTTGTCAGAGAAAGACAGAAAGCAAGAAATCACCTACCAGAGGGGATGGCCATGCTGCAGTCCCTTCTCCTCCTTTCTCCTCTCAGGATCTTGGGCATGCACGCACACGCCCCTGGCGTGAATTTTAAGCCACTAGGTCTGGGACTCCAACGTCAGCCGACTACGTGGGAGTCCAGCTATGTAACCATTACGCCATCTGCTGGTCCTCACTAAGGAGGTTTTGAATGGGGCAGGCCTGGAGTAGAACGCATCACTTCTGTCCCTATCTCATTGACCAAAATCTAGTTGAGATCACACACATCTAGCTGCCAGGGATGCTGAGAGTGTTCAGCCGTGTGCCAAAGAGGAGAAATTGGTCTGATGACCAGCTAGCCAGTTTGCCTCAGGAGTGAATAGCCATGTTCTCTAGTCTACGTTCGCCTCTCTGTTGATTCTCAGAACTGTGCGTGACCTGTGTCTCCAATATTTCAGGACTGCCAGCTGTGGTTGTGACTATCATCCTGACTATATCCCCTGATAACTATGGACTTGGATCCTATGGGAAGTTCCCCAATGGCTCGCCTGATGACTTGTGAGTACCAAGCCCCCTGAGAGGATGCAAAGTGAATTGGAAAATAGGATTCTCCAAGAAAATGGAGGCACTGACCAGCATACTGACACCAGCTCTCATCCTACCAAACTCTAGTAATATTTCACAAAAGCCTCTGTCACATGGATGAGACAAGCTAGTCGAGAATGCCATGCTACTTACTATATAAGTAACAAATTAGGAGAAATTATTTTGAAAATATTTTTATTAGCCACTGATAAAAATGAAATACCAGGCACCAGCAGTTGGCGTAATGGGTATGTCGCTGGACTCCCATGTAGACGACCACAGTTTGAGTCCCGGACCTGGTGGCTTAAACTCATGCTGGGCACATGCACGTGCATGCCCAAGGTCCCGAAAGGAGAATGGAGAAGGGATTGCGGCGTGGCCATCCCCCTGGGAGGTGATTTCTCACTTTCTGTCTCTCTGTCTTTCTGGCAAGCGCCATTAACAAAAACCCCCCAAAAAAAAAAAAAAAAAAAGAAAGAAAGAAAGAAAGAAATATCAGTTACATTATGTTGATAAGGATTCATGGAATAGAGTTACTAGGATTTACAGAAGCAAAATCCTGGATGTTTATATATATATAAATCCCTTATCTTCCATTCTCTCAGGATTATGGGCATGCACGCATATGCGCCCAGTGTGTTTCCAGCTGCTTGGTCTAGGACTTGAACTGTGGTTAGCCATGTAGGAGTCTAGCAGTGTAACCATACGCCATCTGCTGGTTCCTAAATATAATACTTTTAATCACCAAGTGTCCCTTAAATTAATGCTTAAATTCTTTTTCCTATAACTATAATTAAGTGTGGAAAGCAGCAGGTTTTATTTCTTTTTCTTTTTTTTTCTCTTGTACTTGTAAAAAATATTTCAGTACGATGTTACAGTTTTATTGTGTCATTTTGAATTCTTACTGCATCATTGTAATAAGTTTTCCCTCCCAAATTGCAGTTGCTGGATCAATAGCAATGTAGTATTCTACATCACAGTTGTGGGATATTTCTGTGTGATATTTTTGTTGAACGTCAGTATGTTCATCGTGGTCCTGGTTCAGCTCTCTGGCATTAAAAAGAAGAAACAACTGGGGGCCCAGCGAAAAACCAGTATTCAAGACCTCAGGAGTATTGCCGGCCTTACATTCTTACTGGGGATCACGTGGGGCTTCGCCTTCTTTGCCTGGGGACCAGTTAACATCACTTTTATGTATCTCTTTGCCATCTTTAATACCTTGCAAGGTAAGCTCTACAGCAGTAATCCAAACAGTGATCCCCATCAAGTAGAAAAATATCACTACTGGGGCTGGCAGGTAGCATAGTGGTTAAGGTGCTGGACTTCCACATGGCCAGCCATGGTTCAAGGTCTGGACCTGGCAGCTTGCTTTCTCACTTTTCCCTCTCTATCTCTCACTCTCGTCTAATTTAAAATAATAATAATAATAATAATAATAATAATAATAAAAACAATTAAATAAATAATTCTTAAGGGAAAAAAAATCACTACTAAAAAAATATCAAAAAAGTAGCTTATTTAGTGACTTAAGTTATATTTACTGGAAAACAGATGTATTGTGGGTCCAGCAGGTGACGTAATGGTTATGTCGCTGGGCTCCCATGTAGTTGACCGCGGTTCGAGTCTCAAACCTGGTGGCTCAAAACTCACCCCAGGCGTGTGTGTGTGTGTGTGTATGTGCATGCCCAAACTACCGAGAGGAAAATGGAGAAGGGATTGCAGTGTAGACATCCCCTGGAGGGTGGGGGGGTGATTTCTCGCTTTCTGTCTCTCTGGTGAATGCACGTGCCCTATAGCAAAAATCTCTCACAAAAAAACAAACAAACAAACAAAAACAGATATATTGTTGAAAGGGTGCTCTGAAATCCTTGGAAGAAAGTGTTCACTAAATTCAAGAAATGGTGCTTTTTTTCTTCTTATCATTGCTGTTTCCTCGAGGAGACCATATTGAGAGGAACTTGCCAGGAATTCTTTCTGAGAGAGCAGGTTCTCTTCCTTCACTTGGTTCCTCACATTGGCAAAAAAACAAAAACAAAAACCTGTTGATTGAAATAGACCATGCATATGGAAAATCTTACCTAATCTAAGTGTCCCTATGCGGGCTCACTACTCCCACCTCCTACGTTGGTGTTTTGATTTGGAGACACTGACAAATGGGAAGACAGTAGTCAGGCCCAGGTGACAGCAGCAGCCTTCCCAAGGGCTGATCTGGAAAAGTTGCTCTGCCTGGACAAATAGCAGGAGAAGGGCAGGCCCTATGGGTGTCCCCCTTTACTTTGGCGCTTCTCTTTTGATAATGAAGCTGGTGCCGTTTCGCACCCTCAGAGCAGCGGTCTTCAGGACAGCAGATTACTACAGTAGTTCCATTGAAGCCATGTTACAAATATCTGTCAGCTGGGCATTGTTAATGGAAGCGCTTTGGCACCAAAAGCCCATCAGACTAATAGGTTTACATTACGATAAGAATAATTCCCTGTTCCTTTGCTTTCTTTTATTTGAAATCCTCTGTTGTGATGCCTTTTTTTTTTTTTGAGAGATTTTCATTGTAGGGCGTGTGCGCTCGCCAGACAGACAGAGAGAGACATAGAGACAGAAAGCGAGAAATCACCCCCCAG